AGGAAAGTCAATGAGAAGTTAATTATTTATTTTGAAATGTATCTTATTTGTCTATATATTATTTGATATATACATATATTCTGTATACATTAATTTTATATATAAATATAATGATAAAATATGTATTTATATTTTTTTTAAAAATATTTTTTTCATCTTACCAAACACAAAAAAAATTAGTCATTTTTATTTTTCATTTATCCTGCAAAATACAACGGAAACAAAGTGTATCATTCATATTTTTCTTCCTTAGAGTATATAAAGTGTATCCCTCCTATTTTTATCTCTCCTACTTTCTATTATTCCTACCAAATGGAGCATAGGGGGAGGGTGGACACTTGCCCCCTGATTTTTTGATAACATTTATATATGTACTCTTAAAGTATTATATTTTTGTTCAATTTATTACATTTGTTTCCTTTAATTTTTGTAAACTTGTGTAGTGATTCTAGTTCTTTTTATTTTCAATAAATTAGTGGTCTATTAGTCACCTAAAACAAATTATTTTATTTTTGGATTTAGCATACCAAATATAAAATGTCATGACCTACGTATATATTGATCACAAATAACACATCTATTCTATCTAATACATTGTCTACTATTTTTTAGTAAGTTAGTAGTTTATAAGCCAGTAAAATACTATTCAAATAAAATGTCATAATCCAAAAGTATTTTTCAGTATTTTAAACAATTAATTTCTCAACAAGATGATGGATGGTTTTACTTAAATTTTGCAACAAATAAATTATGATTTTCGTTACGGACTTGGTGATTATGCACACATTGAAAGAAACTTAAGAAATTTGATTTAGAATTTGATGATGCATAAAGGTGGATTTATGCATCTGTTGAGTAATTAATATAGGTAATGAATACAATAAATATAAATATGAGATTCACACAAGTAACGCAGATATAGGGTAGTTCGATCAGAGTGATTTACTCTACTTTCAAGGCAGCAACAGTGACCGATGGTCTTTATTGATACAGTAGTAGGTGAGAGAAAGAAAGAACAAGAATATGCTCTTGATAGTTATGAAAGAAATAGCTTTGTAAGGTGTATAGAGAGATGTCCCTCTTATGTAGAGAGATGCCCCTCTCATGTAGAGAGAGTTTACAATTTATAGACACATAGCTTTAGTTAAAGCGGTGACATGATGGGTAGGTTACTAGCTTTTCGAGAGGATAACTACAACTATAGATATTCTTCATTCAGGAGAGTGGCTATCCCGATGATTGCTCCTCACGTGCTCTAATATTCTTGGATTCCTTAATCTTTGAACTAGGGCGAACTCCTTGAACTGTGTTTGACCTTTCTTTTAGCTAATTTTGGTCTATCTCATTAATTGGGCTTGACTTGGACCCAGCTAAATCTGGGCTCATCAAAATTAATCAATGGTAGCTAATTTTTGAGCATACTATTTCACATAGTAATTTAGATGTGAATTTTAGTAATTCTTTTATAGGGTTGAACTTAATTTTTTTTTATTGGTATTACCAGGTAGATGTATTTATTCATATTTTGGCTCAGCCCTTGCTTTCATTGTGCTCTAGATTCAAAAAAGAATCATGATCCATCAATAGACTTGGAAGGAAAAGTAATCACCTTTACTATCGAACGACCAGTGTAGTATCAGTATTCTAACTCTGACTTACAATTTCACGTAGTCTTGTACACTCACTTAGAATAATTATTGAATAAGGTTAGTCATTTAAGAAAAACAATGCCAAACTATGTAATTTTTTTTCCATCACACCAACACAAAGTAATGTTTGAATCGGCTAGATTAATTGTCATGAGCCAATGCAACCTATACAAAAGAGTAATGCCTTGCAATTCCAACACTTACATTGCCATTTCCCTCTACTGTCATAATAGAACTTATTAATCCGGCAAAAATTGTAATACAATTACTAGAAACAAGTTTAGCTTTCGTGGGTTTTGAGCCATACCTGGATTGCCCTGTCAAATTAGTCTAATAAATTGGGTGACGCAAACTCAGTTATACATGACATAAATTCAACCTACATGATATTAAATGGGAATGTGTTCGTTAGAGTAGTAGTAGTTTCTATGATGGAAGAAAAAGGTGAAAGAATATTTCAAGACACGTTATTATGTCGCTTTCTTTAAGATGATATTTGCTCCCACCAATTTTGAAAATCAATGTGCACCAGGTTACAACAAATTCGTCTCTGGGATACAATGAAGTCCAAAATCAATATGCTATTTGATTGTGCATAGCACACAAAATCAAACCTGAAATATTTGCAGAATACATATTTTAGAAAATGAAAAACAAAATAATAGAAAGTGTTCCAAACCTTTTTAGAATTAGAAGAGAGATTGATGAAAAATTGAAGTACCTTGGAATGACTGATTCTTAATTTATTGATAGGCCAATTAATAACTATTAGAAAGTCATTAAACAATTATGATGATTCCTCAAGAGAATACATATAGAGTTGTCAATTTTCAACATGACACAAATCGAACACGAAATTAATGGGTCGAACATGAAATTAAACGGATCAGTAGGTAAAAACGGGTCAACATGTTTAAACAAAAAAAAAAATCATGTCAAGTTCATATCAAAATCAGGTCGTAAAAAATTATTTAAAAATTTGGATGAATGATTGAATAGTGTATTTAATGATAATGAACAAGTGTGTAAACATGTTCTGTATGTTAAATAGGTCGTGTTATGTGTGTTAAAACAAGTCATGTTATACATGTTAACCCGAAAATGACCTATTTATTAAACATATTAAACAGGTTGGGTTTGGGTAACCTGTTTAAAAGTCGCTCAAGTTATTATTTACACATCTTGACACAATTATTAAACAGACCAGGATCATGTTTTAGGATTTTTGACACAAATTCGAAATCAATCCAATACGAAATGATCCAACCCAATACATTTGACACCCCTAAATACATGTCTGTTAATTAACGAATATTTAAACCTTTAAAATTATCTGTCTCTAACAATCACATTTTAACTACTTTAAAATCCAAGTATAATCATCCGATCATACCTCTTAGCGATTTGCAGTTCAAATGAGCACTCCTCACTCCTCATTAACCACGATCAAATGATCAATCATGAAATCCACCTTCTGCTCAAATATAAAAATTCAATGGTCATGAATCACGATTTGATCACTCCTCACTATTATGTTTCCGTGTTAAGTGCCAAATGTGTTTCTAAAGCGCCACATTGAGCCTCAAGCTCTCCTTATAGCCCAACTCATGCTCACGCTTATAAAAAATGTGATAGGTGTCTATTAATAAATGTATTCATTTTCTTCACATTTTTCTTATACCCACACGGAATTGCTTACATATGATTGTCTAGACGTAATGCCTGAGACTGAATAATCTTAAAACAACACAATTTAAATAAGACACAAACCTAAAATCAGTAAGACCACGTATAGATTAAATGTATTTTAATAAAACGGCCTTAATATGTATAATCTACGTTGGTGATTTGTATTTTGAGGAGACTTGGCAAACAAAGGAACAAAGAGTGCAGTGGTGGAGTCCATGCAAACAAGTTTCAACACTTGGCTCTCTTAGTCAGTATCCCTCCTCGTTCACCTTCCCACCTTGCATTTTGGCAATACTAGGGACTTCTGGTTGACGTCAAAATAAGAAACTCCAAATTTTTTCTTAAACTTTTATATTTTTCTTTTACAATCTTGCCCTTATTTTAACCCATTTTTTCCATTCTTAGATTTTTCAGTCTTGAAGGGTTTTTTTTTTTTCTCTTACTGTCATCATCAAATTGTATTTACAACTCAATGTGCAAAAATGTATTCAAAACTTGATGGAAGTTTTGTTTGAAACAAAGGCAAGAAAAAATGCATGTGTTGTTATGGTATTGGTGTGAGAATATCGATCACATTTTCTAATGAAATATAATAATATTTTGAAAGACAACTACATTAAAAATTCAATAGTAATCGAGGAGATAGTGTTTTCATTAGATATAAGGGATACAAACTTAATAAAGTGTGTTTGTAAATTGAGTTAGGTAAAGATTATCTATAATATAAAACAAGATAGATTTTAATAACTCTATTTAACGGTCTAAAATAGACTCATCTAACGGCCACTAATATCCCTCTCAAAACTATTTACATTGTACCATACTTTCAGACGCGGATTATCACTAGTTAATATACATATCACGTACATTTAAGTTATGCTATAAGTAAAGAGCGGGGCTATTCTCACACTCTTAAATCCCTTTTTCTATCTCATTTAATTTTCAAATTATTAAATTTGCCACATCTATACCCCCCCCCCCCCCAGTAGTTACTAAACCCACCCATTTATATTCAACTTATATAGACAATAATCAAGATTTCGTTTTGGTGTATTATTTCGACGTGAAAATATTTTAGAAGTAGAATAAAAATAATAATTATTTTAAAAAAAATTAGTCGAAATATATCAAAATATCTTAAAATATTTCAAAGACATTAGTAAAAATATATCTCAAAATAAAATAAATCATCTTAGAACATTGAAATTTTACTTTAATTACTATTTTTACTTTAATTTATTTGACATATAATTAATAGTTTAATTGAATGAGTATAAATGAGACGAACTTAGTAATTAATGAGATGAATATAGATGAGACGAACTTAGTTTGAAAAATTTAAAAAGAGAATTAAATAAAATGGAAAAAGAGCTTTAAGAGAAATGAATAACCCCACGCTAACTAATTTAGTTAGCCAACTAAATTAGTTGGCTAATTAATTAATATTTTAAGACCAAAAATAGTTGAAGGTTGATACTGTCATTGTAAGGAGAACTAAGGGCATTAAGCTGATACATCATCACGTGATACATATAAAACTCAGCCCGCATCCTTGTCCCACCATCCCTCTCTCTCCACTATATTTTGCCATTGCCTGTATCGGTTCTGTGGAGGAAACGAAACCTGAGAAAGAAAAGCTGCTGAACAGGCAAAGCTTTGAAAATGGCTCTGAAGTTCAATGCTCTCACCTTTCAATACCGGAAGTACCCTTCTTTTGCTTTTCCACCAATTGCCGGCGTCAGATCTCCCAAGTTTTTTATGGCGTCGACCCTTAGGTCGGGCTCAAAGTGAGTTCCTTTCTGCTAGATTTTTGTTACAGAGTTAGGATCTCCATCTGAATTTGTGATTTCTGTGCTGTGTTTGTATGTGGGTTTTGTCTAATTTAGCGATCTGACCCTCTTCCTATAGCGTATAGCATGAGACTAAGAGTAATGATAGACGGATTCAAAAATTAAACAAAAAACAGTGATCAAATGATGTTATTTTGCACGATATTTATACCGATGAAGATATGATTTCTGTTAATCATTTTGTTGTGTGTCAGTGTTTTCTAAAATGGTTTCCATATGTGATTCTTTCAGTGTCACAATTCATTAGATACGTGCAGTTTAGGTTCGGATTCACATGTATTTGATTCTGCTGGTCAATTTGTTATTTGTTTAAATTTGTTTCCTTCCCCCCCACAAAAAATAAAATGAAAAACCTTTAAAGCTCTGTTTTGATTTCAACATATAATGGCCGGCACATAGTTGCTGGGTTTTTTTTTTTAATTTTTTTTTTATGGTTTGTAGTCGAGTTTTTTGTCATACTTGGCACATGTTGGGCCTTTTCAGACCCTTGCATTTAGGTGGGGATGGTGGAGGTTAGGATATTTATTATAATTCATTTAATCGTCTGGAGGATAGTCACAAAACATTGTACATCGAATGTTTGTTTTGACTTGGTGAGATTTAGGTTAGAAAGTTCCCTCTAGATGGCTTGTGTTAACAACTAGATGTGTCCCAATTGGTGCATGTGGTTCTCGGATGTCCTATTAATCTATTTCTACTTCCAGAAGAAATGTATTATGGTTCTTTACTTTTCCTGGTGTAGATCTGGCTAATTTGATTAGCATATATTTTTGGTTAGTAGGCGCAGCATTGCCCCTTTTGTTCTCTCTTATGCTTTTATGGTGAAAGTGGTTTCGTTTACATCTAGAAGCTTGTCGACGCATGTTTGTTCCTGTGTCAAGATGAGCCAGGGAAAACTCTGCATTTTAATGGTTTTTAGCATCGTAATTTTGTTGAAATTACCAAGCTAAATTTCATGGAATTTCTGCCTTTTCAAACTCTCCACTTTTTTCATTCGCCTGGTTTCACAAAATTTTCATGTTTGATGTCTTAAATATGTTGGTTAGTCCATCAAATATGGCTACACATTTGATAGTGTGTTTTGATTTTTAACCTTTAAACCATGTTCACTTGTATTTTGGTGTTTTTGTTTCGTGAATCAGGATATTCAAGTTGGTTAACCTTTTTTCAATATTTTAATCAGGACAGACAGATAATACATCATTCACATTGTTTTAGGTTGTGCATCTTTGACTTTTTTCCTAACTTGTGGCTTGAGATCATGTTTGCAATCACGAAGGAGATCTTTCTTTTTCTTTGTTTAAGTCACATCTCTTCCCTTCTTTTTCTTGGTTTTGGTAGTTAAATGTCAGCTACCCATGTGTGGACCTGTTTTACATATTTATACACTTGACTTTGGTAGCTTTTGTGGTTCCACCTAATATAGAACTCTTGCTTGCGCAGGACTTTCTTTTTCCTTTGCCTTCATGTTACTTGTTTATCAGGATATTCAATTCTATGGCCTTTCAAGTTCTTTCTGAAGCTTAGTTAGTATAGTGGTGGTCAGGAATTAGATCTGCTCGGATTTTAAATCTTTTGTTGTGGTTGGCCTTGAAGTTTAATTCTAGACTGTCCATTGTACAGATAATAATGTGGCGAGATATCTAATGATGGCAAATGGTTAGTGCAGGAAATCAAGACTATATACATTTTGGATAATAATTGGTTGGTTGTCTGCTTACAGCATTAAACTATGGGCTATTATTGAAGACATTTCGATGTTGTTGCACAAAAAGATTTTGTGTTTTTGTGCGGAACGTGGTGCAGTGCGTGTCCGCTTTTGTTTTTTGTTTTGGGTGGGGTGGGGAAGTCATTGCTTCGAATGCAGACTACCCATCTGATGGAACACTGTATGGATTGTGTTAGATGGACCATCCCAGGGACTACCTGTAGTTATTTTCCTGAAATTTACTATTATGTTCTGAGATTGTACAGTCCATACGAGATCGTAGTGGACCCATGTTGCAATAGTGAGGCTGTCAGATAGTATTGTATAAATTTGTGGTAGATTGTCAAATAAAACATATTAAACATGGATGACTGTATAAAGGAATATCACATGCAACATATCAGGCATTCAAGTGGGCTGCCTGGTCAGAACTCCAGCATTGAATATGCATGCTTGTAATATTTCCGAATTCCATCCGTTATACTTTCATGAATAAACAAATAAGAAAACTTAGGAATAAAGTAGGATGATGAATAAGGCAAGGTACTTAAGATGGTGTATATGTGTCAGGAATAAGCCAGCATAGCGTGTAAGAGCCTCTTCACACTTCTTACCATCTAAGGAAATGTAAGGCCTTTGGTTTCTTTGACTTCTTTTCTCTAGTGTTAGTTTACTATTCTTGCGTCTTCTATCCTCCACCCAATCATTACAATGAACAGAATGGAGGGCCTTTTAGATGAATTGAACATAAATTACAAACCTTCAAGATTTTAGAATTGGGGCTCATTGGATTTTTGTTTGTGAGCAAGAAATTGATAAATTTGTCATATTATGTATTTTGTCTGAGAGGGCATGCTATATGACTCATCAGGTCGGTGAGGATAAAGTTGCAATCCTATGTGTATGTGGATGCCCTCCTATTATTCTTTTGAAATGGTATGTCCAGTAATTGGTTGTTACATTACTATGAGGTAACAAAGTGCCAATATATTGTGTATCAGGGGAGATAATTTCTCACGATAACTTAAAAAGTATCAGACACTTGAAACAATAGTGACATGATGATGCCATCTTTAGGTATCTGTATCTGATAATGATGAACGAATCATGATTAATTTGATTAATCTGTATCAACATTTCTTCTTATCTAGTTTTGGGTCATTGTAATTATTGTCTTGCCCTTTGTGATGATCACTTATTTTAATTTACAGTATTTTTCTGATTAATTTCATTTTCTAGGCATCTAATCCCTGTTGTTTTTCTATTTAGGGAGGTTGAGAATCTCAAGAAACCTTTTAGCCCTCCACGAGAGGTTCACGTTCAAGTGACACACTCTATGCCAACTCAAAAGATTGAGATCTTCAAAGCTATGGAGGATTGGGCTGAGCAGAACATATTGGTTCACCTGAAGCCAGTAGAGAAATCTTGGCAACCACAGGATTTTCTGCCGGATCCTGCTTCTGAGGGATTTCATGATCAAGTCAAGGAACTAAGGGAGAGGGCAAGGGAGATTCCAGATGATTACTTTGTTGTTTTGGTGGGAGATATGATCACAGAAGAAGCCCTTCCAACTTACCAAACAATGCTTAATACTTTGGATGGAGTTCGAGATGAAACAGGTGCGAGCCCCACATCTTGGGCAGTTTGGACAAGGGCTTGGACTGCTGAAGAGAACAGACATGGTGACCTCCTTAATAAGTATCTCTATCTAAGTGGACGGGTCGACATGAAGCAAATTGAGAAGACGATACAGTATCTGATTGGGTCAGGAATGGTGAGATCTTTGCCCCAAATTATATTTTTTTCCACAAATAACTTCCTGTTTGAGAAAACTTTGTATTTTCTGCTATAAAAAAGTAAGGAAGCTTTTGGTAAGCTCTGAAATATATCCAGGGAGGGTGGATCCAATTTCCTGTCTTTTGTTCTGTTTGTTTTTTCTGATCCTGTTGGGGAGACATGCCACTTATGATGTGCTTAGTTCTATCCCTACATCTAGATAATAATTGCATAATTATGTGTACCAACTTCACACATTGTTTATATGTAAGCATACAGTTTTTCAAACATGAAATAGCAAGTGATAGGCTTCACTTTAAAAAATGTTAGGTTGTATTCTTCCATCTATTTGCTGGACCTAATTTTCTGAAGCATCCATAATTTTTTGGTCAAGTAGCAAATTTTTTTGTTCAAAATATAAGGATCTGCAGCCTTTCTTGATACATACATATGATCATAAGTGCATGCATGCTGCTTTTGAAACCATGTGCTGGTTATGCCACCTCCTTTCTGGAATCTAGATCTAAGTTTTTGAGGAAATATGAATTTTATTCCTCAGCCATCAATTGTATTTCTGGAAAATGCATTTATGTAGCATTTGTTATTTTGTCATCTTTTTCTCTACTTTTCATCCTATTGGTGTATTTTCCTTTTGTTCTTTGATTTTCTTTATCTAGAGGATTCAAGTGCTTGTAATCATGTTCTCATTTTTTCCTTTTTATGAGTTATTTTACCTTTTTTCTCTTTGGGGGAGGACGTAATTGAATGTTACCTTTACTTTTCTTTATCATGCCCTCATTGGTCTTATTTTTGAAGGAAGGGTGTGACACTTTGTTGAACCAAAACTCTAAACCTTTGACATGAAGGGGTCATCCCCACTTCCCCTCACCCTACTCTTCCTTTGAAGACTTCGCTAACCTGTGTAACAGATACTTCCTCATGCAGTAAGCCATACCTAATGCTGATAATTGTATGTGCTTACTTTCCCAATACAAAGTTTCATGTGGCCTATGTTTTTTTTACTATTATATTGGTAGTCTAAACAATGCTCAATGTTTAACTTGTGGATTCATCTCCGTTTTGTCAATTCCTTTGCAGGATCCACGGACAGAAAACAGTCCTTATCTTGGATTCATCTACACATCATTCCAAGAACGGGCTACTTTTATCTCCCATGGTAACACTGCCAGACTTGCGAAGGAGAATGGGGACATAAAGCTGGCTCAGATTTGTGGAACAATTGCATCAGACGAGAAGCGCCATGAAACTGCCTACACCAAAATAGTTGAAAAGCTATTGGAGATTGACCCTGATGGAACTGTCCTGGCTTTTGCTGACATGATGAGGAAGAAAATTTCTATGCCAGCTCACTTGATGTATGATGGCCGTGACGACAACCTTTTTGAGCATTTCTCAGCTGTTGCTCAGCGTCTCGCTGTCTACACTGCAAAAGACTATGCAGATATATTGGAATTTTTGGTTGGCAGATGGAAAGTGGCGGATCTAACTGGACTGTCTGCAGAGGGGCGAAAAGCTCAGGATTATGTTTGTGGTTTGCCTCCAAGAATTAGAAGGCTGGAGGAGAGAGCTCAAGGAAGGGCCAAAGAAGCAGCCAGCGTTCCGTTTAGCTGGATCTTTGATAGACAAGTGAAGCTCTGAGTGCATGACAGAACAAGCAGTTTCAGTTCCGCTCTCTTGGACTAGCGTATTACTTAATAGTAAGAATATGTGGAAATTTTGAGTTGTATTTTGGTTACAACTTCAATTTATTGCTTTGTTGGAAGAGGTTTTACTGGGTGCTGGTTACTTGTAGATACAGTTGTTTCTTCTGTGTTTCTTCTGATGTGTTTTTAAGTTGGTCTTGTTAAGTATATGTTTTCTCGCCAAAATGTTTTCGACTGCGACAGTCTACGAATCTTCATGGCAAATTTGGTGATGGCCCCTTATATGCACCTTAGATGACTGGTTCTTTCAAATGTTTCTTCCCAATAAATTATGATCCAAATCTAGAAAATTAATGCATTGAACGAGTGCCTTGATCACAGAACTGACATGAAGCTCAGTAGATCATTCTGATCAGACCGGCTCTGATCAGAGAACTTTGGTGGGCTATATTGCTGTTACCCTTATCCTTGAGTTGTGTGTTTTTTCTAGTATTGTCTTTTCTTTTCTGTGATCATTTTCATAAGGTTCCCCCACTGCTCCCAACCCATCCATAGCCCCAACGGTATGCCCTTGATGGGGCGTTCTTCACATAGGGAGGACCTGGTGGTACGGCTCGGCTATGTTAGTGGTATTCCTGAGTTGTGCGATGGGAAATTACTTCCAACTCGAATTTCCCACTTTTTGGTGGCTAAGAAACGTTATGACTTCTTGCAGTCTCAATAGTACTTTGGGTGGACTTCGCCATTAGCAGGGTGGGCCAAGGTAATTCGAGGACCTAAGAGAAAACTTCACATGTAACCTTACTAATATTTTGCATATTAATATATATTATTTTTAATTATTATATTTTAATTATTTATTTAAAAATTATTTTAATATAAAATATTGATCAAATTCTTATATTTAAGTTTTGACAATAAATATTTGTCAGCAGATAATATAGTGAATTCATTTAATATTAATTGATCGTAAATAAGATATTTTCAATTATGTTTCAAATAACCAATTTAATAGGGCGTCTAAAATTTGGACTTAACTAAGTATAGAGTAATTTTGGACTAACAAAAATTAGATATTGATTTGAATTCTTAAAATTTGGGCACTGAAAATTTGAATATCTAAAATATAAAACAAAAATTAGGCCAACTATCCTAAAGTGTAATTTTTTGGGGATTATTTTTCAACCAGTTAATCCTCCATCAACCCGCGAAAATACCTGTGAATGTCGCATAACCGGCACCACAACAATAACATCCCCTTCACCGGGATCATAACCAACATGGAGTTTGGGTAGAGTCTCCCTTATATTGGGCACTCTTTAAACGAATAACTTGTGTACAATTCAATCACTTGACCATTCTAAGATCTAATATACATCAATTTATCCTTGAGATTACTCCATTTACCTCCTTCGAGCAAAAGGACTCAAGGTCTAGAGGCTTAACAGAAGAATTTTAATTTTCTGAAAATTAAAAGAGACCTATCGGTAGAAAAGTAATGTTCTACCAGTAGAAAAACTCATTAGAAAACATCTACCGGTAGAAGATTGGCGTTTTACTGGTAGAAAAGCTCACTGGAGAGTTTCTACTGGTAGAAGAGTTCACTGGAAAACTTGTAAAACTTTGGTAAATTTAAACTTTTTATGAAAAAAGGGCAAAATGGTAATTTGTTACTATAGTACGGATTGTAAATCTAAAATTTTCTAGAACTCGGATGTCAAAAAAAACCTCACCGTTGGATTCGTCTCGCGAAATCTAGTTACCCTATCAAATTTCATCGAATTCCAAGATAGTCGAATTTTCACATTTTACGAGGCGATCGAGTCTCGGGTGACTCAAAAATAAAATTTTTAATAAAAAATTCAAAGGTTGGAGATTAATTTAAGGCCATTTAAAATAAAAATATTTCGAACTTCAATTGAGACAAAATTTAATCGTTTCGGGGCGAAAACGGACCCAAAAAATTAGCGTCATGTGGCACGTTGTGGGCCAAGCAAGTAAAGGGTATAAATAGGGAAAAAAAAATCTGATTTCTTCCCCCATTTGCTCAGCCGTTACCCGATAGAAAAGAAGAGAGGGAAACTCAAGTTCTCTCCACCTTCTCTCTAAGATCCGCAAGGATTGGTTGCTCAAATCAACTCGAGCCAAGAAGAAAAGTTGTTCTTTTCGACGAGGGCTACGCGACTATACCAAAAAGCGCGGATTTTACTGAAGATCAACGGATGAAATTTTTGGAAGCTAGGGATTCTAGCTCGTTTTTGGATTCTTGAAGGCTCCTACCATGTGGTTTACGCTTCAAGAGGTAGGATTCCTTCCTACTTGAGTTTATTTTATAATCTAGGGTGTTTATATGAAATGAGTAGTTTGATAGAAACTTATATCATTTATCTATGTTGGTGAAATTGATGAAAATGAGTATAGAATGGTTTAAAATAAATTCCTAACATGGAATTGGTATGTGGTAATTACTTGTGTAATTTCATAGAAATTGGTGTTATGTGGGCATGCCTATGTGCTTTTATTATACCTTGTGAATAGTGTGTTATTGACATATAATATGTAATAACATGCTTGTAATGTATGGTTGGATATAAAAATGTTGATTTATGCTTATAGATATATCGACATTGTGATGGAATTGGTAATTATATGCTTTTGGATATAAATTGCCATGGAATATGTTTAAATGTGGTTAATTTTACTCATGTGGCATTCTTTACATATGGGCATGACATTGAAATAGCAATGGTGCATTACATTGCATTTATATGGAAGAACCGTATCCATAGCCATGAGTGTGGGTGTGTGTGTGTGCATGGTTGATATCAAACACCAAATAGGTGGATGATGGGTGGGCTCGGGATAAAGACTTGGGTCGGGGTTAGCAAGAAGGGCTAGACTATTCCTCGGGTGAGAGACCTGGTGATAAAATATGCATTCCGTTGGTATGAGATCTCATAAAGTGTGTCGGTGTACGTGAAATCGTTGGTAGAGGTCCATGAATTCTGTGTCGGTTGGGTGCCACAGGTGTAAGTCCATAAATATTCACCCCAAGAAAGACCCAGAGATTTTAATTAGTCATTGGGTGTGTAGCTCTAATGGCAGGGCTTGAAAAATCAATTTTTATACTCATGACATACATGGGGGAAAAAGAGTTAGGGAGGGCTTGGATTGAGTTGCATGAGTGAGTCTCATCTCATTCCATGGCATGACATTACTAAGATTCCAACATCGAATAATATATTCTTGGTTGGGATGTTGTTGGTTGTAAAGTGTGGCTTGAACATTCAAATGCACTTAGGTTGGAGAATAGCCTTAGTAGGAAATACTCTACTGGGCGTGGCTCACCCTATACGAGAAAATATTTCAGGTGTAGGATATACATCAGTGGAAGGCCCACACACGGGACTCCAAGGGTGAGGAAAGCCAGGATGTGACTTTATTTTGAGTTTTGTAAAACAATTATGAAATTCTATTTTGGTATGTAAATACATTGAATTGAATGTAATAGAATTTGTATCAACCTTGTATTACATGAAAAACTTCATTATACATGAGTTGGATGGAAATAATATGCTTAGGAATGAGTTGGAAATGAAAAGCAGGTGAAATAGGCAAAAGTGGGCAAAGAGTACCGATACTTAACGTGGTCTAGTGGGTTATCCGTACTGGTATAGATTTTTCAGTGGGTTAATAGTACCGGTACAGTCTTGTCCAGAAGGCTCACAATACCGGTATATAGTACCGATACTCTTTCCAAAATTTTGAAATTTTAAAAATTACTTTGCTAAGCTTCTGGGCTATGGGTTCTTTGTTTCCAAGGATATAAATGGACTATAATGGAGTATGAAATGTGGTACGTTGGACTATGATTGATTAAATGATAAAATGTACACGGGTAACACGTGTGAGTTATAATCTCAGTTAAGGGGGATATTATTGACATGATGTTGGGTTGTGCTACGATCACGGGTACTTCCTCAGATTGACGGGTGGTCAATGGTTGAAAAAGGACCCCTGGTTTTAGGGGCGTCACAAAACTTCTACCGGTAGGTAATCAATATTTTACTGGTAGATCACCCCAGTTTTCCCTCGATTTGATCATTTTTCAATTCCAACTCTTCCAGTCTTGTACAACAACAACACAAACTCATATAAAATACAATTTTATACAGAACATAGCCCATACAAGTTTGTTTTACAATTCTTCACACAATATTACATGTCCAAAACTAAATTACATATTTGTTTTACAAAAACGTAATTTAAAGCCACATCCTGGCTTTTCTTCCTTAATGAGAGTCCAAGTAAGAGCCATCCACCGGCTATGCCATGCCATTTTATGAGATAAGGCTCACACATATAACTCAACCCAAGCCTTCACTATCTCTCATAACACATGCAATACCATGCGTATGAATCCGGGCATTCCAAGTCCCCGCCATTGATATTACACATCCAATGACCATTTATAAATCCCGAGTCTTTCTTGGGGTGGGTGTTTATGGACTTACACCAATGGGCACCCGACCAACACGGCATTTATGGACTTCCACTAACGACTCTGCGTATGCTGACACACTTTATAGACTCGATACCAACAGAGTACTTATCCAAAATCACTGGGTCTTGCATCCGAGGGACAATCTAGCCCTTCTTGCTAACCCCGATCGTATTTTCAATGCAACCCGTGCGACTCAGTCGAACCTTGGTCCAATGGCATTATCCACCTAAAGTGGTGTTTGATCAAAACCGTACACACACCCACACTCATGTCATATTCCCGTGTATATGCAATGTAATGTATAATTGTATTTTTTCAATATCAAGTTTAATATGTCATGAGGACAATATGAACAATATTCCTTCAACATTTCCAAGTCCTCAATGTCAAAATATCATAATGCATACACCAACATTTCCTAATATCAAATCGTAAGCATGTTATAACATAATCAATGCAAATAACACACTTAATCCACATAGACATTTCAT